TTTAAATCACTACAAAAACCAGATTTAACCAGCTGGGCCATATTCTCTTAGGCAATGCCTGTTGACCTCCTCAGTCACAGCTGCTCAGATGAAATTCTCATTAGACAACTTATTTTCAGAAGCCAAAGGACTCTGATTAAAGATAGCTGTTTAGACACAATAAAGTCTTTCAGTATATATTTCTTTCACAATGTTATGAGGTACAGCGGAGACCACAAATAGTATATCCAAGCGTAACAGACACCTAACATCTGAAGGTATACTGCAAAATATTTAAGTATTTGACATCAACAACATGCATTACTCAAATTCAGATCCTATAGATGGACCAGAAACTTACTATAATAACGTTAAGAGAGACTTGTTGCTGTACTCGCATGGGGGTTAGAGCAGATGACTGGAATTCTTGAGTACTTTATTCCACTTCTAACTCTACAATTAACCTGACATATGACCGTATGTTAGCCCAATTCCCACAGCTACATTAACAATTATGGAGCTCCTCCCTATAAAAGGTGCTAACATGTACTATTAATTCATTCAAAGGAGTGATGCAAGACTTCAAGCCCAACAGATTTTACATAGCATAGAAATACATGTCTTTTCCCCATTACATTCATTAAAGCAATTATATTATGTATTTGCTCAAAAAATCATCAGGTGTTTTTCAATTTAGGTAAGCAATTTTGTGACAGATCAGGACTTATTACACAAAGGGCTCCTCAAAAGCATTGGCTGCATACCATTTTAAGAAAAGAACCCCATAGAAACCTATTTTAAAGGGCAGATGTTAAAGAGCATCATGTATGGTACATGTGTGATTAGGCTATTAATTAGGTTGTTTAAAAGAGACTATAAAATGGCAAAAGACTTTCATAATCTCAGACCTCATTTCCCCAACTGACTCTGCACTGAGTCAGTGGCAGCACCCATAGTCACAACAAAGATCAGAGTCTTAAAATAGTAATTATTTTTAAAATGTAATTTTATTCCAATCAAACAAGTATGGTGAGTTTACTTCTTTTTAATTCAGAGACACCTCTGAATACTGAAATAGCTATTCAAATCTGTCATAAGGATTTTGGTGTTCTTAGTCTAACAGAAGTTTAAAATCATTGAACTTCCTAATTGTAACATCCTGAAGAATTTCCAGTCTTTCCATTAATGATTTTTCTGTGTTAGTTTATATGGTACCAGTCAGATGTTCATTAATTATTTTCTGTAAAATAGAAGTGACCTTTGTTTCTACAGAAAATGCTGGATGGATTGAAAAGAACTTAACATGGTGATACAGTCAATTACCTTTGAACTTACAGGCAGACTTTAGAATAGTTTTCCAGTATAATGTGGTCCATAAAAGGCAAGATTATTTTATAGATCAGCAATGACCTTTATTTCACAGCTGGTATGAACATAGAGCGTGGAAGGCTCAAACTCAGTGAGGGGGATCTCTCTGCTGTGCACATACCTCTCTCAAATCAACTAGTATATACTAATACAGAGGATGTGCAGAAAATTCTTGAGAATTCATACAAAAATAAGCTATGCAATGCTTTAATCCTTACAGTAAGATACTATGTTTAAACTTTCTGATGCACATTTTTATTAGCACACCATTCAGTATACTCCTGGAAAAGTCTTAGCTGTGGTGTCACTATAATCAACAGCAACTTGTATACTCCTGCAGCAAAGTATGAGCCAAGACCTTTGATTAGCATGGAGTGTCGAACGACTGTTACTGACTGTAAAAAACAACTTTGCCAAAGTAACATTTAAAATAGTTTTCCTAGTCTAACCACCAAATCTAAGAAAGCAATTTTTAAAAGAGTGATCTTTACAGCTGAAAACAGACAGATGGTAGTAAAGAATCTGGGACACTCTCTCTTTAGAGATGTTTCACCAGCTTCAGAAAGGACACCTATAGAACACATTTATCTATGTGCTGGCATTTAACAATTATGCCAAGAAATTTGAAAGCCTACTTCCATCCCTACATGATTTTATCCCATATTTAAACACATGATTGTATCAGCATCAATTTTAATTGAAATCTACATTGCTACATGGAGGCAAGAGATCCTAAAGTGCATGGTTTGAAGTGCACTTTGACCATACCATGAAAGCGAGGAGGTAAAATCATTCTGAACTCATTCATATTTCAAAGAAAAAAGGGATTACAAAGATCTACTGCCTTGTGGTTCTACTGCATTACCAGTATTACAAAGATTGTTTCTGGGTTATTTTTAATGCCACAAAACAAAATTAACTGACAGAATCCACACAGATGCCTCCACACCTGTTTATCTATTCAGTGCCTCCTGCTCTCACATCTCTAGTTCAAACTCAGTAGGAGCTCACAGACTAGAAGGTATTGTTGCAGAAACAACCAAGACTTCATTCTGCTTGACCTGGGGACAGATTTTTCATAGTGGGCACTGGCCATGTGCACACATATACTGACAAACTCATTCTCCAATTCTGTTTAGTTCCTTTCAAGGCCAAAATCTTAGCAAAGTCAAAGAGAATATCTGAATAAGGACCGAATACATAAACTGCCTTGGAGCTCAAAGATTTTTCCTCATTTTTATTTCTCTCTTTTAACACTAGTAACAATATCCAAGCAGACTGTAAGAAAAATTATTTCTTCAGCCACAATTCTAGATATATAGGATATATAGGTCAGAATTAGGTACTCCTTACACTTAAAACTGTTACCCGCTTTCCTAGCCACAGATGCTGGGTCATTAAGATGAAAGATGAGAATTTCTAAGGCAAAACAAACCAGCTCATGTCTTATTCATTCCTATTGTTTAAAATAAACATTTATCTTTTTTAAAAGAAAAAGAACAAATACCACTGAAGAATACCCCTCACAACACTACAACCAGTTAAGAATTCATCATAACCTTTCAAGTAAGAGTTGAGTTTTCACCTAAACCGACATTCTTGCTTTGACTCACAGACAACCAACCCAATTTAGAAAGTTTTAAAAAACTGGCATATTTGTCTAAAATCCCTAATGGATCTTAAGCTACCATTGCCATGGTAACCTGTGAATAACTATCCTAGCCTTTGCCAATTATGCAATTTTCTGGCTCTTGATACCCAACACATTCTTTATGCCATAAAAATTGTAGGGTTTGGGGCTGGGGAAACTGTATCGGTCTTATCCAACACATACCCTCTTGCTCAGTCCTGGTCATTTCTTCTAGTTTCTTCTGTTTCAGTGTGTCCACCACATCTGCAAGGCTTCCTTTGCGGCGTTCTGGCGTTCCAAAATTAACACTGGTCATTAGCTCACTGCGGTCACGACCTCCTTCGTCGGGCTTGTTTGGTGAGGTAGAGGTATTTCGGAAGGAATATAGGGAACATAACTTATTACTCTCTGACTCCTGCAAAGACATAATACAATGTGAAAACATAGGCTATTCTCTTACATCAGAAGGATCTCAAACAGGTAAAAGTTGAAAGCATTAATTATTAGTCTGTAATACTAACAAGCCTACATATATACACCTGTTTCTAAAGTGAGCATTATGATTTGAATTTCTCAGTTTCGGTGCTTGACAGGGGCTCTTTTTTCCTTAAGGTCAGTCCTCTCCATGCTTCTAACAATCATACTTCATGCCTGAGATACTCCTCATCAAGGATTTTCCTTGTCAGAAACAAGCCACTTCAACGCCTTTTTCAATGAATGTAAGCTTTTACAGTTTTCTTTAGTTCCTTAAGTAGAGGCGATGCATGTAGCACAGAGAGAAAATACAGGCAAGACCAAATTATTCCTGGATAGATCCTCAACTAATGGAAAGCAACATAACTTTAAAACTGGAAAAGGAGTTAGGCCAATAATGACTGAGGAACAAGGAATCTACTTCACAGTTAAACAAAGCTTATGGTATGTGTCTACCCATGCTCATTTACTGCTCTTTAATTTAAACACTTTTCTTAAAGACTGAAGGTTATGAAGCTTCTATTATACAAAAGGAGAAGTTACTTTCCAGGCTAACATAGGCAAGGATAAGCAAGGAAATGAGTCTATGGCAGAACAAGTCACGTAGGCTGATGCATACATATTGAGACTACATGTATCAGTGAAGGTGTTGTACAGTCAAAAATGCAGAGAGAGAAGTAAAAAGAGTTCATCTCCCTTGTCAATACATAAAACATAGTATTTAAACAATAAACTTTAGAAAAGAAATCAAAAAGCAACAAGTAATGTCAATTCTCCTCAATTTTATATCACCCAACAGTCAAGCCCTTCATGAACTTCTCAGACTCCTCATTCTCCTACCCATAGGTGCAACATTCACCACATCACTGCTTTCACTCTTTCAGCTAAAACGAGCACAGATTCTTCAATTTGCCCTCAAAAACTCAACCATGGGAATTTCTCACACACTTCCCTTTCCAAAATTATTATTCTATCTTAATTTTTAATAATACCAGGCTAGGAGTGCTAAAAATTTGGGGGGGAGGGGAGGAAATCAAGGGCGTTTTGTTTATGGTATGCCTCAAACTCTCAGTGTGTATATTCAATGCCATGAAACAGATTTTCTTTAAAGTTCAAGAGTAATAATAATAGTGGCAATATATTTAAGAATTAAGAGATGAATTAATAGGTCTATCAAAAATCACATCCCCAATACATAGTGTTCCCCACAAACAATAATATTCCTACTACTCTATGAGATAAGAATACCCATCTACAGAGCAGTAAAGAAACTTGTGTTGGGAAATGTCCCAGGTGAAACGACGTCTGAAGAAAGATGGACTAGAGAACATTAACCTTCAGCAATAACATCAGACATAAATCTTTGCTTCAGTCTTGAACGGATTAAGAAGTAGCTGTGCAATGTAACAGAAGGAGCAACACTAACAATGAGCAAGTGTGGTAACTAAGGGCTGCGGACTGCATAGAAGGTGGTGGTGACAAATCGTCATCAAGCACAGCAGTATATGATCAGCACAGCACTATCATTGCCATTGGAGAAGGTGGCAGCATTTGCTAGTGATTTTGAAAACGCATTTATTCACTAAGACAGGAAACTAGAAAAAGACACTATTGCATCCCAGCAGAAGAGGACACCTGTCAACACATTAAGAGTGAGAGAGGTTTTGTAAGGATAGACAGACAGGTGACACGGAACAAAAACTTTACCTTGATTTTTTCATCTATCAATCATTAAAGAATTTTTCATTACATCCATTTGCATTCATTAAATAATCAAACATCACAAAGGACAACAATAGCTTAGACAGACCAGGTACAGAGATGAATTTAGAAAAGGAAGCCTTTTTCATCTTCAATTGTTTCTGAAAACTACTACTTCTTAAAACTTGGTCTAAGTTATAATGAAGATGAAAAAGCATCTCCTAATTTCTATAATACGTTTCCTCAATGAAGAATTAATACTACATAACATAGCATTTTCACCTTTGAAGACTACAGTATAGGAACAACTTAGTAATTTTAAAGGAGTTCTCAAGAAAGCAACAGCCTCTTTCAGTGCATGAAGCGTATCCATCAGGCTCAATGCAGGGTTTTTCCTGCTCCCAGCAAGGAACACTAAATCTATTGTTTAGGTCGGAAACAAGAAGATAAGGCTAATCTGTGGAGCAAGTAGAAATGACTGAATGCTCTTCCTCCTGATAACCTATTCTCTCCCTCGTCTGGACAGATGCATGGTCCAGCACAATGTTCCTTCACTGTTAAATACTCCAAGTCCTGACTCCATTAGGTAGCATGCCTACACTTCTTTTTCTTGCCCAGAGGACTGCAATGTCCATAATGAAGATGAGACAAGTTTAAACTCCATGCAAATGATGTACGTTTATGGAATGGAGGCAGAATGGCAGCCTTTGCAAGAATGAGGATCTGTCCAACTAATAGAGTATTTTATATTGTCAGTTTTGTGTGTAATTAAAACGTAGATTGAAAAATAAAATAATAAAAGGTATCCCTAATATTTTTGGTTCTGTTTGGCCCTACAGCTGTAGTATTGGGGTCACTAAATGGCTAATACACTTGCAGTGTATTATCTGAATTGGCACTCTAAGAAACCCAGCAAGGATGACTTTCTGAGCCCTATCTTTTTCTGAAATGAGAAATGGCTAAAAAGAGTGGCTGAGGATTCGGCAAGAGAACTGCACAAACTGAAAGGCATTCAAGGGATTAAATGGGCAAATGGAAAAAAACTGCAGACCAGTCCAGTGTAAATACCTTATCTAATAATAGCAGAACTCAGCTAGAAAAATCTAAATCAGCTGCATGTACAATTATCTACAAGAAACAAAACCAATTCCCATGCATCCTATGATTCTAGATAAACTTGTGAATAATCTACAAATAAAATGTAGCTAAAAAGGAAACATTAAAAGGCTTCAGAAGGAATTTTATAGCTATGCAATCAAAATAGATATTTTTACTCCTGTGTATCTACTCTTGGGAGCTTTGAGTTTTTAATCCAACCATATGAACAGGTTATATTGACCTCATTCATGGCAAACTAGACAGATCAAAAAATAATGGGGCAAGGGAAGCATTTTATTATATTTTCTCTAGAAAGGTGACTCAACTGTATGTGAAGGGAAGTTGCTGCTGCAGCGTTCAGTTTGTTGAAAATGAAATAAAGATTGCAGCAAATTTATGAATTATTTTCATTTGCTTGGTGGATCTTATAATCTTTTGTGGACCAATGCATGTCACATTTATGTCCCAGCACCTCACCCACTGCATGACCAGAAGTGCAACTATCACATACACCAGGTGCAGGCCTGGCTACCAAAAACCAATTTGCATTGACGTACACAAGCAGCATGCAGGTACCCTCCTAATGTAACTGAAAATACATCCTTATGGCCCAGTTATCCTCTGAAAAGAGACTAGTGGATCATGTGTGTTATCTGGGAGAAGAGGCATATCATCTCCACAAGTTGTTTGTTGGTCCTCTTGCTTTAATGCATAAAGTACTCTCACTACAAAATCTCGAGTCCAGAATGGAAAAGGACCACCATGCTTTTTTTACCATAGAACAAGAAAATTAATTCCTGGTTAAGGAAAGGAGAACCTGGTTCTTTTGAATATATTTCAATAATGAAAGAGATCATAGCCTCGAGATGCTTTATGAAGCCACCTTTCACAGAATGAGGCAGTCGCAGGTCATTTGAGCTGAAGAGACTAAAGAAAGGATGCTGTTAAAGGTATTTTTCATTCTTTTTCCAAGAGCATGGAGAAGAGGTAGAGACAAGTAAAGTGCCTAGACAAGATCAACTCTAATGTTTTCATTTTGCAAAATCCAGCTGAGCAATCCATCAGCACTGATGAAAATTCTCCATTCAAATCAACTTTTCTCAGCATACCTGGTAATAAGAAAATGGGCAAGAGAATATGACTGATATGAATGTCCACTTAATGTATCTGGACACAATCTGGTGCCCAAATTCATCCAATAGCTGCATAATACACTAGACAACTGACACAACCCTGAATTCTCAGGTTTAAAATTCGTGTATTTCTGTAAAATGGCATTTTAAGTCTAAACTTGAAATATAATATCTTCAACACATGACAGTCCCTTTGAAAGGTACATTTTTCAAGGTGTGCTGTGATTTTTATGAAACATTTAGTCTATGGACAAAAGATTTAACTCAGAGCACGCTTCTTCATCCAACATTGGTGAAATTTGGTCACAGTAAACCCTACACATTTTTAATCTTGACTACATTAGGATTCATTCAATTTCCAATCAAGATATATGACAATATCAATATATTAATAAAACATCAGTATCAAAATATTGTGTCCATCTGAAGCAGACTTTACTTCCAATAAGAATGGAGTGCTTAGAAAAGAAAAATTCAAGAAAGAGCTATGTTTTTAAAAATTTTCATTCAGTCTTAACAGAAAATGTTAGGTAAAAGTTTTGCTTACTACAGGTAACATAGCAAAGTGAGTTGCTTCTCAGTTTGATCCAAAGTAACATCTGGTGCAGATTGCTCCGGATCCCACCATACCCTTGCTAGACCATCCTCCCACTCACACGCTAATACTGGATAATTGTAGAACATCCGTTTATGCCCATACCAAAACACACAAGGTTAATTGAACAGGGATTTTTGCCCACCACAATGGTGGCATTTCCAGACTAGCCTTTAATAACTGGCAAACAATAATATTTGAAGACAGCTTATTACACAAAATTAGGCATAAATATGACTGTTTAAGGAACAATGTGTGTGATAATTTTACATCTTAAGCTTTCTTCTTTGCCTTACTATGTCAGATACAAAAATGTTTTAAGCTGAACAGGTATTTATTTGCAGAGATGACTAAACCAGAAAATCTTACTGCCCAGCAGCTGAGGACAGAAACTCGGTCTGGACCACTATTCCA